AACAACCGTCAAAAAGACAGCCATCAAAATGACAGCCGTCGAAATGCTATCCTTCAAATTGACAGCTGTCAAATGTCAAAATGGCAGCCTTCAAATTGACAGCCGTCAAATTGACAGGTGTCCAATGTCAAAATGGCAGCCTTTAAAATGGCAGCCTTTAAAATGACAGCCGTCAAAATGACAGCTGTCAAAATGGTCTTGTGACGTCACATGACGAAATCGTGACGTCGCAGTGACGTGGCGCTTTAGACTTCACAAAACGTCCTTTACATCACAATTTTTCTGATTAAAATTTTAAAAATCGAAAAACAATTAAACGTCGGGTTTCAGAAATATTCACAAAATAACATTGTTTTAAATGGGTCACCCTGTATATTTTACAACAATTAATTAATTTCCAGATGTCTTCACATCCCAGAAATTATTTATTTCAAAAAATATGTATAAAATAAATGACGACAATTGTTGCTGCAATAGTTTCTTCCAACCGTTTAAAAATATATGCGGCAACAATTTTCGTCGTATTGCGCTCCGCCTGCTTTCAAAAAATTGTACAAATTTATTTACAACATATTACTATAAAATTGCCGAAAATTAGTTCTGCAACCGTATCTGTCAATCATCTAGAAATATGCGCAGCAATGATTTCCGCGGTATTGCGCTCAAATTGCCGTTTTAAGTGTCCAGCAAGTATTGCGAGTGCAAATTTGTAGCGATTTGAAGGAAATGTGAAAGAAATTATATCTAGCAAATATTTCTTCCGGATTTCTCGGCAACGTTGGTTTATTATATTATAGTCTATTTTTTATTCAGTCTGATTTATATTTTTTTATTAATCGCGTAGGGGGCCCTCCATCGGACGGGGCCTTGGGCTGCAGCCCATAATGCCCATGCCTAAATCCGCCCATGTGTATCGGGATATCCCTATATATCCTTCATTGAGTTATTTGCTATTGGTCTCAATGGGGAAAATGTAAAAGTTATGGTGTGCCTATAGATTATTTCCTATACATTTTCCCGATTGATTATTTTGTATAGGTCTCTATGGGGTATTTTAAGCAGGGTTAAGATAAATAATTAGGCTGCTTAATTTAAGCGCAGTATAAAAAGGTGGGAAAAGTAAAGTACTGAAAGCAGATTTCAAGGGAAACATCCCAGATAGCAAAATGTAGTCACGATGCGCGCACAGTGAGTGCATGCGTGCGTCTTTAAACAGCGCGCGTGCGCGCAGATAACTACACAGATGCGCTTACGTATGCTTCTCATATGCAGCGCACGTGTGCCGGCGCATTTAAAGCGCACTTGTGCCGACGCATTTCCAGCGCACATGAATAAGTCAAAAAAGTTGTATATTTCAAAAGGAAATGCATATATAACGACGGGTTTAATGCAAAATGGCACAAGCGCCAAATTTTTCGAAAAATTGTTAGAATACAGGCTGATAGAGAATTAAATTCTCTAGCTAGAGCTGTAACAATTTTTTTTAAATTTTGGCGTTTGTGCCGTTCTGCCTTAAGTTTAATTAAACCCGTTGATATATATAAATATATATTCTGTTTTAGGTTTCCACGGGCGTTATATGTATTGGTGGTTTTCCGGGATCTCCTCCGTGTTGTCGGTTTTTATAGATAGGCAAGTAAAGGGAAAAAGTAAATAAAAATGCAAATTTTAATCAAAATCACTTTAAAAAAATAAATAAATATCACAAACGTAAAATAAAAAAATCTTAATGTAGGTAAATAAAAAAGAAGATGATCAATTAATCAAGGGATTTTAAAAATACTAAACTAAATAATCACAAAAGTAAAATCATAAAATCCTAAAGCAAATAAAAGTCTTAAAGTAAATAAAAATGCACAGTTTCATAATTTAAATTATTGTGAAATCCCAAGAAAATTAACCAATTATGATGGGAAAATGATTGTTATGATTTAATCTTTATATTTTTCACACTTACCTGAAATCCTTATAATCCTTTTATCAATTTATACCTAACTATAATAACACGTGGACACAACAAACACAATAGAAAAATAAATACAATACAAACACAACACGATTGCAGTTGATGCATGGGATTTTAATTGAATTTACCCAGTGAAACAATGCAAATTGCAATTTTACGTTATTTCATTATTATTGATTGTATCATTTTTGTAACTATAAGGTGAATAAAAACGAAATCTACTGTTTTTTTGATAGAATCTGGCATCACTGCCGATAAGCACAGTGTAAGAGATTATTGATCACGTCGTGCGCTCATCGCGTGGGCGCGCACGGCTATGCTACTCATATGCGTGTGAAATCGACCCCACGTGTGCGTTCTCACGCCGTGCGACCTACGTGCGACGCAGGATTGCTATCTGGGATATAAGAATAGGGAAAATAAGCAGAGGCGGCTCTCTAAAACTATATGTTCTTGGGCGCTCAGGCACGGTTGTGGTAAAAAACCTCGCGATTTTAAGCCTATGTCGCGCTCGTATCTGTGTTTTGCTTTACAAAATATAAGATTTTTTTCATTTCTGTGTTGCGTTCATGACGTTTGGGTACTCGATTTACTCGGATTTAACTCAAAACGTTTATTACAACAGCGGTGTCTAGCCTTTCACTTGCGTAAATCGTTCGTGACTACTAAGATATTTAACACCGATTTTACATATTTAACCCATCTCTTGTAGGTGCGTTAAAAGTTTTAACTTAACTTAAAACAACTTTGCATGCGCATTGTAGTGTGTTAAATGTCAAATTTGAAATGTGGTTATTTGTGTTGACAATTTTTTTAGCGAATTAAGAAATCGTTGCTAAAATATTAAGTAAAAATTTTATTAATAAATTTTGAAATTTACGGGTTTTTAGTTAATTTCGACATTTTTTTATAAAAATGTCCGCCATTTTAGGTCCACCATTTTGAATTTTTGAATTCTGATTCCAGATTCATTACCAGCGACCACAAAAACCCCTGTATGGTGATGTTCAATTTATTCCGTCAATTTTTTGACAAATATATCCGCCATTTTGGATCTACCATTTTGAATTTTGGAATTATGATTCCAGTTTCGTTATCAGCGACGCCAAAAACCCCTGTGTGGTGATTTTTAATTTATTCCGTCAATTTTTTGACAAATATGTCCGCCATTTTGGATCTACCATTTTGAATTTTGGAATTCTGATTCCAGATTCGTTATCAGCGACCCCAGAAACCCCTGTATGGTGATTTTCAATTTATTCCGTCAATTTTTTGACAAATATGTCCGCCATTTTGGATCTACCATTTTGAATTTTGGAATTATGATTCCAGATTCGTTATCAGCGACCCCAAAAACCTCTATTTACGGATTTTTAGAAGAATCCGACTCCTTGATATTTTGCCGAAAATTTCGAGAATTGAAACACTGTGCGACGTGGCGATGGAGCAAGGTTCTTTTGTCACGAGACGCTAAAGCTGGATTTAAGCTGGATTTATAGTTTTAAAGGTAACGGTAGAGGCAGCGGTAAAGGTAGAGGTAAAGGTAGCGGTAGCGGTAGCCGAGTTCGGCATTGAATATTGTACGAAACAATTTATAGTTGTCAGAGGTATTGCAGGGTTTCAAGTACGTTATGGGGGTCGTCAAGTACGTCGCTATAAAACGAGGGAATTAAATCGAGAACGACCTAAGAAACGCCATTTACAGTATTAAAATAAAATAAAACTGACCGATAAAGAGCAGTTCTTTAAATACACAAATGACGGTGCCCTTTAAATACACAAATGACGGTGCCCATTTTTGACAAATTATCAAGTCTGGTTACAAGGCGAAACTGCCAACTAAACACTGCCGTTTGATTGTCTGGAGTAGCGGTTGAGGTAAGAAAAGATGAAAGATGGTCATCTCTTGCCGCTACCTTCTTGCCTCTACCTCTCTTACCGCTACCTCTGACAACTATAAAAAAATTGTTTCGTACAATATTCAATGCCGAACTCGGCTACCGCTACCGCTACCTTTACCTCTACCTTTACCGCTGCCTCTACCGTTACCTTTAAAACTATTAAAAATTAAAAATCCAGCCACTGGCGTCTCTTCTTACTGCGCATGATCGCTTAGTTGACAAATGTGCCGCGATTGAAAATTTTAAAGGCACGTTAGTTACGTTATAATTATAATCCGTAGATAGCTCAGATGGTAGGGCGGTCGCTTGGCAAGCGAGAGGTCCCGGGTTCGAACTTTTTTTATTTTTTTATTTCATAAATTTGTTGTTTCTTTGTTAAACAGTGTTCGGTTGGGTTGGGTGGATTGGTTGGTTTGTTTTAGTTTTATCGTAACATAAAATCTACTAGAAGTTGTCGAACTTTTTTTATTTCATAAATTTGTTGTTCCTTTGTTAAAAAGTGTTTTATTTTTATCGTAACATAAATTTGCCCATTTAAGTTGGGTTTTTTGCTCAATGGGGCGGGGTCGGTTGGGTTGTGTTGTTGAGTTTGGGTTGGTTTGGTTTTATGACGTAACTAACGTGCCTTTAACATTTCGAATCGCGGCACGTTTGTCAATTAAGCGATCATGCGCAGTAAGAGGAGCCGCCAGTGGCATTTAGCGTCTCGTCTTTTGTCAGGATCTGCGACCTGCGACAATTGTGGACCCGGCTTAAGGTACGGATTCGTTGATGCGACTCGCGGCTGCGGCTTGCGGCTGCGATCGTAGCCGCGCCACTGCTTAGTACAATTTGTGTGTATATGTTTTGGTTGACGCGTTCAGTCGCAGACTGCAACTGAACGCGCCAACCAAAACATATACACACAAATTGTACTAAGCAGTGGCGCGGCTACGATCGCAGCCGCAAGCCGCAGCCGCGAGTCGCATCAACGAAACTGTACCTTTAATGTAGGAGGTGGATATTTGGCATTGCAGCATTGGCAACACTGATTTTGTCACAGAGTTTTTCTTTTTCTATGGTTTTTGTTGGCAACACTGTTTAAAAGTCGGGTTATGTTCTGTGATTTCAAATCTTATTTGTTATATGATCTGTGCATATACAACAATTGTTGTATATGAATCTGTGATCTCTGGTTTAATATTTTGATCATTTTAGACATTATATAATACGTTAGATTTTGAACTAATATGTCTATGATTTTGATTATTTTAGCAGGCTTTAATAGTTATTCCTAATTTTATTTTATTCAATATAAATTAATTTCAAAATGTCCCATACAGAAAGAGTGGTAATTTTAGTGGACATGGATTGCTTTTATTGTCAAGTAGAAGAAAAGTTGGATCCTCGATTAGAAAGTCTTCCAATTGCTGTTGTTCAATATAATGCATGGAGGGGTGGAGGGTATGTAGAAAATATAGGTAGTTAATCATTGTTTTGATAATAATAATTTCTAGAATTATAGCTGTGAATTATCCAGCAAGAGATAAAGGTGTAACGAGGCATATGAGAGGTGAAGATGCAAGAGCTGTTTGTCCTGAAATTCAGCTGGTGAAAGTCCCTAATGTTAGAGGAAAAGCAGATTTAACTAAGTAAGTTTAGGTTTATTTATTTCTACAAATAACAATTAATATACATTAGTAATTTCTTTTATTTTGGACTTTATTAAATATATTGAGCTTAGACCATTTGAAAAGAGATTGGATCAGTTTGTTGGAAATGTTGGAAAGTGTGAACTTAGCTGTAAACAGTTTCATACATAATTTAATTATAAATTATATCATTCTGAATAAAAGACCGCATATTTATTTATTTAGGAACTGGTATAATAACTAATAATCATATTTATTTATATTAACTTTTACAACGAAATGCATAACAAACCACCATCGTATTTTAATATTAAATCCGACGTTTTAAATTTTTTTTCAAGCAAATACACACCAAACAAACTTGTAAAGTTGCCACTGACTGTATGGCTCACAAATTGCATGCTTTACTTACAAAACAATGGGCATTACATGTCCATTTCTTTAATATGTGTATGATTTGTATGATTGAAGACATTAATTAATTAGGGTTAATAACGAGTAGGCCTACCAGTAGTTACAATCAAACTTGGATTGAAGAATACATTTAATTAATAATAATAATAATATGTTTATTGCTAATAAGATCATACATGATATAAGCAACATCCAATGTTTCTCTATTTTAATATTAAAAATGTAACATAACACCTTTATTCACTCATGTATTCAATTGTTAAAATATTTAAAACTAGCTGAAATTCTTAAGATATCTAGTTATATGATATCTGGGTCTGAAAAGAGGTTTTAGTCCAAAACTATGAGTAGCACAAAATTCTTATTAATACATTTAGAATTCTAATAAGATACATAGTAATTTTTAGAAATTTACAAAATATTGTAAAAATAGCTTCCTTTGCATTGAATAATAATTTTTGGTTAAAGTTGGTTTCTTACAAATTTCTTACATTTAATGTATTTACAAAGGAGAATAATAAGTGCTGACTTTTATAGTCATACATACAATACATTAAATGTAAGAAATTTGTAATGTGTACCAGTCATTTTTCGCGATTTTACATTATTTTTATTAAATCATTTTATTTTGTGTGCTAAAAAATTAACTTCTTATACGAATATTACCCTAGGTACTGTCTGTCCATTCTAAGTTGGCGGAACTAAGGAATTTTGTTGTTTAGATATTAAAGAATTGTCGTACTGTGTGCTTTTAAAACAGATTTTATATTAATAATAATACTAGTATATATTCCTTAGTTCCGCCAACTTAGAGTGGACAGACAGTACATATATTTGATTTTACCAGTATTTATCCAGAATATTTAGTGTTGTCCAATATTACTAAAAATTGGGTGAAGTAGAGGGGCTAATGTAGTGCACGTTTGTTTTGCTAGATTTGGAATAGTATATTCTGTAACAAGTTTGGAATACAGCATATTCCGCTCGAGTGAAGAGTTTGTCACACGAGCCGAATGCAAGTTTGACGGTTTCACGAGAGCGGAATATGCAATTCCAAACGTGTTTCAGACTATACTTTTTCTACGTTTCCAAAAAATACCATAGAAAAATAATTTAATTGGAAGAAAGTGAGGTTGGATCGGTCTAAAATTTGTTAGATATTAAAAACAGAGATGTCGCCACGAGTGTTTATCCTGTCATCAGATGAATATTTCATTCTGTAACACTTTACGGAATATACAGGGATGGTAATGGGCTCTTAGGCCGTTTAATAAACAAAGATGCATGCTATATGAAACGTACGAATAAGTGAGATAAACGTATAAATAAGAGAGACAAACAACCATTGTTGAACGAATAGGATAACAACATACTTATTTCCCCTCTGCCATAAGCGTGCAGTACAAGATTTTAAAACGATTAAATCAAAACAATTAAACGTCCGCCAATGTTTTACTTCCCCTCCTCTAACTGCTTTACAATCCCACCAAGATACATACACCTTAAGATAGGATGGTGCGCATGTTGGGCGGGGCTTAAATATGTCACTTGATGAGTGTTTTTAAATCTTTAACGTGCTTTTTAATTATCTGCTGCTAAAATTCTTGTTTTTGCGATGCTGTTGGATGTTAACTTGTTCTAATTTTTGTTTAACTTGTTGTTTTTGCTTTCGGTAAGGTTCGAATTACTTTTCAGTGTTCAAATTATTGTTATTGCGTTGTGTTAACCTGTTTTGTTTGTTTATTATTGTTTTTGTGTTGCGTTAACTTGTTTTGTTTGTGTTTTAGTTTGTGTCGTACCATTTGAATTTATTAAAATGCGGTGTAGCATATTTGGATGCAATTCAGACAACCAGTCCAAGAAAAACCCTTTAAATAAAAAAAAATTTAATAGATTCCCGAAAAACTTTGATTTGTGGAAACAGTGGTTAAATGCCACAAAAAGAATAGGCAATATTAACGTTAAGACCGCTTCTGTTTTCTATAAACATTTTCTGGACAGTGGCTATAAGTTTAATTTAAACACCAAGGCTTAAACTACAGCCCTAAATGTTATCAAGGACTAAAAGCATCTATTATCCATATTATAACAATTTCTTCAATATTAAGTTTAATAAAAACGCACTATGTCCAGATATTTCTCTATTTTCTTTTATTCGTGTATATGCGCGGCATGAACCAAAACTCGTACACGGGAGCATCCAGCCATGGCGCGGCGCGGTCTGGCCTGCCCCACCACTATTTCGTCACTCCACCACTCCCACGTCTCATAATGCATTTGTCTTTATTTATTAAACGGCCTAAGAGCACATTACCATCCCTGTATGTCATTCCATAGATAAAAGAAGAGAGTAATAGGAGTAGAAAAAGATAATAATTATAACAAATTATTTATCCTGCTACATTTTGCAGTTTTTGTGTAGCTACGACTTTTTTTCGACGTATTCAAATTTGGGGGCAATTTGTGCATCATTTTCCGGGGGCAGTAAAAATACCAAAATGTGTCGGAAATAATCGCAACAGGTTTTATTTTATGATAAAGTTACTTTATCTTAAAATAAAACTGATCGAGATTATACTTTAAGTATTAATAAATATAGAAAAATTTAAGAAAAATTATAAACTAGGGGTTTGCATGGATCCGCGTGAGATGGCGGATATTCTAGCGCATTTCGGTTCCTGTGCTTTCCAACACTATGACTGTCGCATGTAAATAATCTTGGTGACTGCTTTTTTTGCGATTTTTGCTACTTTATAGTTGATTTTGGCTAACTTTTCGACGCTTTGCCACCTCTTTTTGAATTCACTATGTTAACGCAAAGCACTTTTGTCACGACTATCAATAAATATCAATCTATATTCGTGTTAAGCGGAAAATGTTACTTAAAAACACTTGATACACTGATAGTCTTTCAAGTGTAATGCCTTAAAAACGCGTGTTTTGCGAATGACGCCATAACCAAGAATAGAATTGGCCATAACTTTGGTAATAGATGCACGGTGAAATTTTCACCGTGAAAGCCGCAATGACAGATGAGAATTGTCTGACACCATATTGATGGCAAGGGATTTGCTTCATTCATTTAGTCTGTACTAGTGATGTAAAGAATGTCAATTTTCCCACAATTCCTAATGCGAATACTCGTCAATCATATTCAAAAATGCGAATGCGAATGTCAACTTTTCAGACTTGCCGCGATTTTCTGCGCCCATTACAGGCAACCCGATTGGATGTATTATAATAGGCATTGTCTATCGTTATACAATAAATCTGGGTTGATAAATTATAAAAATAATAATAATATTAAATATAATATTAATAATAGGCAATTACAACAAATTAAGATTGTCTATCATATATAAGCCTATAGGCTCATAAAGTGGGGCAGAAAATCGAGCAGTAAACGGCGGTAAATGCATATACGTGTTCAGGGCCGGGCCTAAGGGGGGTGTAGGGGGGGGGAGTCACCCCCCCAAAGTTGGCAGTTGGTTCCAAATCCAAACACGGTTGGCAAAATCTATAGTATTTGAGTCGGTTGGTTGGGTATACCTACCCTACCAACCAACCCATCACAATAAATAAAATGAAATATAATTTTTAAACTTTACCTACATATTACAAAATTATAATTTTTAATCTATTGTAACCTCCTATAATCGTTACTGTCAAGAAAATTGTATTGGTCAACCTTATTTTTATTAAAGGACATTATATTTCACACAAGCGGCATGTACAAAGTCGGCACCGCCTCGCGGCTTTGTCTTTGGTTTTGGCGGCGTTTGACTCCCCTGCTTAAAAAAATCCATTGAAAACCATTCATGAATGGTTCAATGGTTCTAGGTGGTAACTTTGTACCAGGCAATACACCATTGCTAACTGTTCATGAGTGGTTTCAATTCGTGAAAAGTTATTAATAGGCAGGAGTACTGTTTTCTCAATGGTATTTCTATAGTCATAATTTTTTAGTGTAAGTTTGAAAGGTTTTCTATGGTGCTCGAGTTATGAGATTTAGAAAACTGTTTAGTAAAAGTTGAGGTGCACCATTAATCAATAGTTTTCAAAAGTTCTGCAGTTCTACCTATTGATGAATGGTTTTTGAGTGCCCAAATAATGTTTGGCGATTTTATTGAAATTTTTTTCTACTTTCGCCCGCCTTTTTTTATTTTCGTCAACGTAGTCATCCTCACCACGTCCGCGACAAAGATAGGAAGTAATTAAATAATTGAAATGAGTAATTATTTACTGAAACATCGTTTATTGAGTCAATAGGTTCTTTCTGACATTTAAAAAAATTTATTAAATCAAGTTATTCGACATTTTCGAAAATTGATATTGTGTTAGTACTAGAGGCCGTACTTGAATATAACGCGAGACGTTTAGGGGGGGGGCTCGACCGGATCTTACGAAATCTTACTTGGAGGGGGGAGGGCAGCAAAAATAAACCAAAAATGACTTAAATTTGAGTAATTATGGGCCGTCGCTGTCGTCACTGACGTCGGACGCAGGAGTATAGTCGGTTGGTTTCTGATGGTACTCGAGGCAGTTGTCGGCTGAAAAATGTTGATTACTTAAAAACGGTGAAAATAACGACTGAGACATAGGACTTGTGATATTTATGAAAATTGCTCATTCACTTTTTAGTACATAGACCGGGATTAGGCCGAATTCCGTGGTTAAATATCTGGGTCGAGAATAACGATGTAGGTCCAAAACGACGAGACCCGAGCGAGCCCGATTGAGCACACTACCCAGATAACAATTATGACATCATTTAAGACATCAACGTGAAATCATTGCTGATTCATTCAGTGATGTCACTGAGGTACCTACGCATAAGTGTTGCACTTTTGATGAGCAACGTGAGATCCTTAATGGGTCACACGATGAATTCATTATGAAATCAAAGGGATGTCATTAATGATTTTACTTAAGGGACTAAAAATGCTAAAATTAATTAAAATAAATATTTATTTTCTGAAATAAAATAAAAAATATTTCAAACATGTTTTTAATAAAATTTAAAAAGTAACTTGCATCTGATTATTAATTTTTATACATGTATATATGTACCTAGCACGTGCTAAGTATAATTTATAAATTAATTATAAAAATATATTTAAAAATACGATAATTTTTAAGCCTTGGTAAGATAAATCCATTCCCAAAACTTGGCAACACTTATACCTACTATGCAGAGCTGTACAAGAAAAAAGTATTCGAGTACAAAGTACTTTTTCCAAAAACTATTAAAATGTAATTTAGGTTTTAGTATCTAGCAAAAAAAGTTGTTAAAAGTTAAACAACAAAATATCAGGTTTAGGTCACTTAGGGATATTTAAAAAAAACTGCATTTTTATATTTATTAAATACACCTATTTATTTATGTTTTGAATATTTTTTTCCAAATAACCAATTATTTCGATTTTAAACAGAAAAAAATAATATTAAAATAGATTAACTATTCTTTTACATAACCTTTATTACCTATATAAACCTATTCATGCAAGTAATTTATTATATATTTTATTTAATAAATAGCCTAAACATTATTTAACTGCAAGCACGAAATTAAATTAAAGTACCATGCATTTATGACTGCAAAAAAAATAAGATTTAATGCAAAAATATAACCTAACTTTTTAAGCGTAGGTACCAAATATAACAAAAACATATTCGAGTAGGTAATCAAATACAAAATAATATTTAAAATCCTACTCACCCCAGTATAACAAAAACCAAAACACTTAAAATAATACTAATGCACATTCTGTATTGCAGAATAATCTCAAATTTATTAAAAAAACCGTTACATACGACATTATGACAGCACTGCCAGAGATAAAAAAGGGCACTACCTCTTGTAATTTGTAATATCTCTATAAAGTAGGGCACCACAATGATATTTTATCTATTTTGGTTTCATAATGACTTCATTATAACACCGCTTTTGGTTCTTTAATGAGGTACTTTATTCCACCCAAAATTTTGATTTTATAGGTTGGCTACTGGTAAAATACAATTTTGAATACCTATAGGTTATAATATTTTTATGATTTGTTTTCTAGTACTTACGAGACTTTTCGTGTAATAAATTTTGTTTAACACCAAAGAAAATCCTTTTTTCTTCTTTAACAGCCGCTTATTGTAAATACTTATTGTAAATTAACGACGCCATAGCGAAAGAATGTGATAATGTTTGAAAGGTTAATGACCTTTCAAACTTCAAACTTTGTTATCTATGATACCAACTATGTAAAGTAAAATTTAACCAAATTAAATATAAGGTATAAAATTAATTTGTTTTATGAAATGTTTGCAAAATAGATAAAATAGCATAAAGAACTCATGTCATAAGACCTTTTGTCGCACTTGTCCATTATAAAACTCGCTCCTTCGTCGCTCGTTTTATAAATTGTCCGCGTGCGACAAAATGACGTCTTATGACATTAGTTCTTTAATATACTATTACCAACTTGCCCATATCGAGGATTTATTCCGAATATTGCCGAACCGTTAAACTTTAGCTGCTAAAGCATTATAATTATGACGATAAATTTGAATATGTAGTAGTGGTTATGTTAATTAACATCTTTGTGTTAAGTTAACTTAACACAAAGATGCCGAGTACAAAAAGTACTCCAGTACATTAAATGTACTCGAGTACAACAAAAGTACTCGAGTACAAAAAATGTACTCGAGTACAAAAAATGTACTCGAGTACAAAAAATGTACTCGAGTACAAAAAATGTACTCGAGTACAAAAAATATACTCGAGTACAAAAAATGTACTCGTGTCCATTTTTAAATTTTTAATTTAAATAAGTACAAGTACAAGAACTTTGCATAGTTCAGAGAAAAACCTTAAGGTTATAAATTTAAATTATGGCACTATGACATCAAATGCATTTCTGTTAAATCACCTGGACCCTCACATGGAGCTCATTAGCTGAATCATTGCTGAGCTCCAGGTGAGGTCCAGGTGAATTCACAGAAATGCATTTGATGTCATAGTGAGTTCACTGTGAGCTCACGCGATGATTATCACTGAGTGATTTTTTAATGATTCATAAATGTTATCTGGGTACTCACGTAACGTCAAAACTCGTGCTTAATCGTGCCCGCTCGGACAAATACGCTTCTACATGTAGAAGCGTATTTGTGAATATTAACAATGTTTATAAATCGAGTGAAAAAAACATCTGTAAATGGTATTTGTTTCTGAAATCGATATTAAAATACAATTTTTTTTAGCAGAATTTCGTTGTTTTATTTTTTGTAATTTACTATATTCGATTTAGAACGAATTTCGGGGAGCAATTAAGTTGTGAGTGCAATTTTTGATGAGCAAAAACGAACGCATCAATTTTTGGAGACTGCTCAGTACACTATAGTGACGTCACTGATGTTTCGACAAGTGTGATAATGTGACGTTCAAATATGAACCCGGTTCTTGAAATTGGCAACCGCGCAAGCGCAGTAGCGTTGCCAGAAAGGGCTATTGTCTTTAAATGGATTTTGGAGGGTACAAAGTTCCAATGTAGTACCATAAATGAATCAGTTTGTTGTAAATATCATTTTTTATAAGTTGATCAACAATACAGCGCCATTCACCAATCATTATCGCTGTTAAAGTGTAAATAACCATTCAGTACCAATGCGAAGGAACCGGTGCTTAAACGATTGAAAACTTCTCGACAACAGTACCTTTTGTCTATGGTCATGGCCCTCATTGAGAACCATTATTGCAGAAACAGCATTGTCCCTTTTAAATACCACGCCCGAATATTGCTAGATTCCGTAAGCTTTCAGCCCATAGAAAACGATTGATTTGAACGGGGTCAAACCTCATTGAAAACTTTCGGTTTAAAACATGCTTCTTGCCAGTAGACACTTTGCCTACATAAAACCATTTCCTAAAGGGTGAACCATTCGAACCTATTCGTCAATAGTCATCGTCGAAACCATTGCCCTTTTGAGCCTATTGGAAATGCACTATTCATGAATGGTTTTCAATGGATTCTTTTAAGCAGGGTCGTTTTACGCACCGCAATTTTCGGCGTCTTATTTTTCTAAATTATTAATTAATTGAAGCTTATCTAAGCTAAGTAAAACTAGTGTCAATAAATAGGAATTAATTTTTTTTTAATATGGAAAAGAAAGCTAGACCGGGCCGAGTTCTAGTAAAATGCTCATTATGTGCATCTGTGTTTAACAAGGACTAGAAAAAAATGCACGAGGAAAATATTCACGGTGGAAATTTGGTTAAAATTAAAATTGTTACTGTTCCGGATAATCCACTTACATTGGTAGCAAATAAAAAAAATAGAGACTTCAAAAGAGCATGCTAATGGTAGGTAAAGACATTCTTTATCTACACTTTACAACACTTTACATTCATGATAAAACTACTGAAAATTCTTACTATTACTACTAAAGTATCGATAAAAAAATAAGTTGGTTTTTTTATCGTCTCCACCCCCCCCCAAAAAGTGTGCCTCGGTACGCCCCTGTACGTGTTATTTAGGTATTTACTTTATTTTGTCAATTTGAAATTTATAAATAATATAAATAATTATGAAACAGATATTTTTATTCTTATTGTAAAGTAAATATTCAAACTGTTAATATTCGCAAAACATTTGCATCAATTTTTGCGAATGCGAATCTCAAAAATCGTGCAAATATTTGTTACATCATTAGTCAGTACAGTCGGTGTACTATATTTCCCCCTTCTACTCTACATAGAATTATGTATATTTCTTTATATATTTTGTATTATCTAGGTATAGAGAGGCGGGTAAAAGAGTAGCTGAAGTTTTACAAGCCTTTACTCCTTTACTGCAGAGAGCTTCAGTGGATGAAGCATATTTAGATATTACTAAATTGGTAAAGAAAAGAATTGAAGAAGATCCAGAACAGATATCTAAAGATAAAATGAAAAATACTCATATTGTTGGATTTAAAACTGAGGATTTTTTAATTAATTCATACAAAGATAAAATATATAATGATAAAAATTTTAATTTGGCAATGGGAGGATTAATTGCAGAAGAAATTAGAGCTGCTGTTTTGGAGAAAACAGGTTTGTTTTATATAATAGTTTTATTGTGATTAATTGAATTTAAAGATTAAAAAAAGTGTTAATCCATTGAAGACACTTTACAAGACGGGATTATTTAAAGTTAATAAATTTAAGTTGTTTATAAGTCATATATAAGACATATTTTTTTATTTTATAATGTAAAACGTTCGTCGCTGAAATATTTTTTCGTTATTCCTTGAAATCTTAAAATAGCCAGTTTTTTAATTGTGTGCTAGAATTAGGTGTTTTTCTTTTTCAAGCGTATAATATTTTTTATATTATAATATTCATAGGTATATAAAGAAAGACTTCATTTTAACACTAGTTTTAAAGTTAAATTAATATAAACCCCTATACAAAAATGAAACTTAAATCTCATCATAGCATTTGAAACTAAAATCTTAAAGAAGTATTCTAAATAATTGGTAAAAAGTAAATAGTATATAAAACACGGCGAGAAAGCTTATTAATTGCCTTCCAAATAATCTACTGCCTCGGCTGGCGCCTCGGCAGTGAAATGTATAATATATGAGCTCTCTCAGCCTGGTGTATATACCTATGTTTCATTTATATTGCACCAAACAGCAAAGTTTACTAATTCTACTTATAATTATGATTTTATTTTTGCCAATTTTTTTTGTGAAAACTACCTTTAATAATAAAGGCCAAAGAATTTAAAAAATTAACCGTAATCTTTATTTGTTTCAACTAGGATATAAATGTTCAGCTGGAATAGCTCACAACAAAATTCTAGCAAAGCTAGTTGCGGGTTTGCATAAACCTAACCAACAGACAATAATACCTCAAGATTCCATACCTCAATTATATGAAACTTTATCAATTAAAAAAATTAAAAACCTCGGTGGAAAGTTTGGAAATATGTTGTCAGAAAAACTTAACATCGAAAATATGGGACAATTGAGTCAATTCAGTCATAAAGATTTATCCAAACATTTTGATGAAAAAACAACGTAAGTAAACAAAATTATAAATACGGAAATCTTAAATGTATTAATAATAATTTTAGAAATTGGTTATACAATATAGCTAGAGGAATAGATTCGGAACCCGTAACAACAAGATTAGTTCCAAAGTCAATAGGTTGTTGTAAAAGATTTCCCGGAAAAAATTGTCTAATACTACCCGAAGATGTCGATCATTGGATAGGGGAACTAGCGCAAGAAATAGCAGAGCGTTTGGAACAGGACTTTGAAGAAAATAATCGAAGAGCAAAACAAATAATCGTTAGTTTTACCCAAAAAATCAATTTTAAAGACGTAACTTCCTCGAGGACTCAAAGTTTAACTTCATATGATTTTAAAAAAGTAAAACAGATTGGTATGGACGTTTTAAATAGGCACTGTCTAAAGTCGGATGGAAATTACCATATTCTTTTTCTTGGATTAAACGTTGGAAATTTCGAGGACAATAAAAATGTTAGTAAGATAACGTCATTCTTTAAAAATGGAACTGAAAACGTAAAAAACCCAGAAATAGTTGATTCTAAAGTTACAAAAATTTTTTTCAAGGCTTTTCAAGGCCCCAGCTGTTCCACCAAAGAACAAATTCAAGAAGATATAATAACGAATGAAGAAACTGAAAAGGCAGATAATAAGGAAGATAATGTTTCAATTTATTCAGTTTCCACAGTCGATCTAGAAGAAGATATTGATAACTTTATATATTATGATGATGTTTTTTGTAAAAAAGATGACCTTAACAAATCAGAGAACCCCTCACCAAGAAAAGACCGACCCGGTTCGTTTTTTAAACGATATTTTCACAAACCAGAAGAAAGGAACTTTGATACTTCCAAGATATTTGAAGAAGAAAGCAGTGAAGAAGAAAATTATGAAAACAATATTACGGAACCTGAAGAAAACAATGGTTTCAAACACTTTCAATTTTGTGCAGAATGCAACAAAAAAATACCAGACAATGAATACCAATCCCACATTGATTTTCATTTTGCAGTAAAGGTTTCAGATGATAAAGTTTCAGAAAATACTCAAAATAATACTGTTCAAAAATGTAGCATTCAAAATATGCTCAAAAATGTAAATAGCCATAATGAGTTAATTGATTTATCCAATGTAGAAAAATGCCCCGACTGTAATAAATTAATCCCTTTAAGTGAAGTTCAATCTCATAAGGATTATCATTTTGCTCTAAAATTAGTAAAAGAAGAATCCCATATTTATAAAACGAAACCTAGTATATTGAATACAGAAAAATATACTACTGCTACCAAAACCAAAAACAAAAAAGTAGAAAAATCCAATAAGAATTTAAAAAGAAAAGTTTCCGAAATAAAATCAAACATTTCACTAAAATCATTTTTTAAAACAGAGGACCTAAATAATGACAATTCCACAATTTGCTCTACTTGTTGTAAAAGAATAAAACTTGAAGATTTTGGGAGTCATGTTGACTTTCACGAGGCAAGAAAATTACACAATCAGTTAAATTCTACCCCTACCACGCCAAGTAAAAAAGTTGAAAAACCTAATACAAGCAAAGGCATTGTGTCATATTTTAAACCTTAAACTGTGATTTTTTATTTAAGTTAAATAAATATTCTATTAATAATTTACATTGTTTGATTTATTTACCCTTTATAATTAATCAAAAGTCAGGCTGTCACATGTTGTGTATAAACACATCTGCAGTAAACATTGTTTGCATTTTTTTGTTTAATTTTTGTTGTTGTTACTTCTTTATACATATATAGAAGTGTGGTTTTAAAATTACAACCTTTTAGTGAAGCAGAAGTTCTTGTACCGCCTTCATTACTTGTTATTAGCAATCAGTCAGTTTATTTGTATTAAAGTTATGCCGTTACGGCGATTGAAAGCAGTTCAACTTGAGTAATTAGTTCGTTGGATACGTGTAGGTTTCAAGAAGAAGTCCCTTAAAGGTTGAATGTGTCCCAAAGTATCGTAAGTCGAGCATGGAGTCGGTATGTAGCAACTGGGTCTCCAGTTGAACCAGAGGACGTGAACGATCCATAACTCATGCTCAGGACCGTTTAATTTTCCAGACTGCCAAAAACGAACATTTACAACTTCAAGAATGAACAGTTTCTTCAGGCAAGCTACTGGAAGAGTTATTTATTCTTAAACTGTCAGAAGAAGGTTGCATGCATCTAACTTAAGAGCAAGAAGACGAGCTACTCATCCACGGTTTACACCGGGGCAACGTGCATGCAGATATCGTTGGGGCACAGTCTGTGGCCCGTAGAACACCAAAATTTGATTTGTTTTTATCGACGATAATGCCCGCCCTCATCGTGCACGGCTTGTAAACGACCGGATGGAATATTATGGGATTACGAGAATGGATTAGCCAGCATGTTCACTAGACATAAATTGCATTGAACACGTTTGGGCCGAAATATCTAGGCAATTCAATCGGCTTCAACAACCTCCCCAAACATTGCAACACATGACCAATGAGTTGCAAGCAATCTGGCAAAACATACCTCCAGACTTTAATAATAATTATTAATAAATTATAATTTGATCATAAGTCTTCCAAACTGGGTAACAGCATTAAGGCGAGCCAGGGGTGATCATACACAATCTTAAACTTGTATACAGCTGGTTCACTATTTTAAACAGCATACTAGTAAAATAATATTTTACATATTGGTTATAATATTTTTATGACTTTTCTGGCAATACATTTTGTTTAATACCAAAGAAAATCCTTTTCTTCTTCTTTAACATTAACAGCCGCTTATTGTAAATAAGTAAATTAAAGACGCCATGGCGAATCGATTTTGACATATTTTGACATTAACCCTTCAAACCAACTACCCGGACAACATTCGTGATATTCATACGAACATCACGTCATGATTTTCACAAATTTTATTTTTACTGATATCATACGGAAGTCACCGCGTAATAAATAAAAATCATATGAACGTCAGGTCGTGATATTCACAAATTTTATTCATACAGACATCATCCGGATGTCACTGCGTGAGAAATGAAAATCATGTCGTGATTTTTTATGCCATCGGTGTTTTGATATTTATTTTTGCGCCACATTCGTACATTGAGAGAAAAAGTATACCTACATATATATTGAATCAACAGTTTTTGTGGTTAAATATCATCAAAGAAAATAATAAATGTATTTAACCGCAAAAACTGTTAATTTAATTGTTAACATACATTTTCTCACAATGTACCTACGAACGTGGCGCAAAAATGATTATCCAAACACCGTTGGCATAAAAAATCACGACATGATTATTTTAGGCCATCGGTGAATCGCAAACAGCGATGGCATAAAAAATCACGATATGATTTTCATTTCTCACGCAGTGACATCCGGATGATGTCCGTATGAATAAAATTCGTGAAAATCACGATGTGACGTTCGTATGATTTTCATTTATCACGCGGTGACTTCCGTATATCAGTATGAATAAAATTTGTGAAAATCACGACATGATGATCGTATGAGTATCACATTCGAATGTTGTCATTCAATTAAAAAAGATATACCAATGTTTAACAAACGTTCACGTTGTTCGCCCTTGCTCGTTGGCAGAAAAAACAAGCGTTTTTATTTAGGTTGGACGTAAGCAGAGAGGGTATTTAATGAAAGGTATCCAGACAACCCTATTTGCAGAAAATATCTACGGGGATTTGTGACTTAATTTCAAACAACTGGAAGATCGGGTAGAAAATCAATCTCAGAAGACATAAAAATAGAATAGTCGGTTCCGTCGTCAATAATCCACATCAATCGACGATGGCAATTGCAGAGGATTGTGATAAAGCTAAATCTACTGAAAATATTTAAAACAACAAATTTCATCCCAATAAATTAAAAATATAACATCAACTTACTGAAGATGACCCGGATCACAGAGTACAATTTTGTGAAGTTATGTGTGAGCGCAAAATACAAAATCCCCTGTACTTTCAATGAATTTTTTTTAGTGATGAATGCACTCTTTTTCTAAATGGCACTGTAGATCGGTAAAATGTACGTTACTGTTCAGATGTTAATCCACATGTTTTTCGTGAAGGTCATACACAATACACACAAAAAGTCAATGCATGGGCAGGACAACTGAAAAACCATATTGTAGGATCCATTCTTTTGGAAGTAAATTCAACAGGCATCTTGTACTTAAACATGCTTCAAACACTAATTTACCCAATGCTTTAAAATATAGTTTAAGCTAATCCTGACGAATTTCACATGGAAGTAATATTCCAACAAGATGGAGCGCCCGCACATTATTTTAGGGATGTTAGACAGTGGCTTGATGAGACATTTAAATGAGTGGATTGGTAGGCGTGGTCCTACCGAATGGCCGGCTTGGTCTTCTGATTTAACTCCACTTGATTTTTTGTGGGGTTATTTAAAATCGAAGGTCTACATCATCGTACACTGAGAAAAAAATGGGACAAATAAACTGTTTACCTAATACTTTTATTTGTAGTGAATATATTGTTTATTACCTCTAAATAGTCAAAATAATAACGATAAATATACTTTAGTAAAACTTTATGTGTCGGGAATAAAAATATATTTAGGATAAATAAACTGTACCCTTGTCCCATATTTAAATATTTTTTTTATTTGGGAGCAATAAACTTTTTTCTCCGTGTACCGGAATCAGTTGATAATCTAAAACGACAGATTAGACGTAAATGTGCTAATATTGCACAAGAAACGTTCGCAAATGTGAGAACTGACATTAGAAACAGACTATTTTTGTGTCAAAGTGTCCAATGAGAGCATTTTAAACATATAATTTGATGACTAATTAAAAATTTATCGTACACTAACAATGGTTCAAAAAATACCAGGGAGGGACGTACTCACACACAGTTTTTACACCTAAATATTTATACAATATTGTTTGTATTTTACTAATCGTTCTGGTTTAGCCTTGGATGTCATGCTTAAGGTTACTGATGTTTGTTTGAAACTCTTGACTGACATAGATATGGTTAATTTTATCGAAAGAGGTATACGGAGCGGTATACCTCTTTCGATAAAATTAACCATATCCATGTCAGTCAAGAGTTTCAAACCAACATATTTAAAATATATTTCACAATGTTCCAATTTCTACGCTAAAGCAACCAATAAATACATGAAATCTGATTATAATGCTAACGAACCTCAATCTTATGTAATGTATTATGATGTAAACAACCTTTACGCCACAGCCATGAGCTTTGCACTACCTACAGGGGGTTTTCAATGGTTAGATGTTGATAATGATGACATAAAAATATTTAAAATTTCCGAGACAAGCAAATATGGATTCATTTTTGAGGTTTACCTTTATTATGCTCATGAACTTATTGAACTTCACAAAGATTTACCTCTTTGTCCTGAAAATTTGCTGCCACCAATTTCTCCTGACACAAATTATTAACCACTTTGTATTAAAAGAAGAACTATGTAATTCACTATATAAATTTAAAACAAGCTTTACACTTGGGTGTAAAAGTTGATGAAATTCATAAATGTTTAAAATTTAAACAATCTACTTGGTTAAAAATATATCGATTTAAATACATAATTATGAAAGACTGCTTAAAAAAAATCTATAAAATTAATTAGTAACGTTGTATTTAGCAAAAACATTAAAAATTTAAAGAAATACCGAACTGTGAAATTGGTTAACAAGAGGTCAGGACAATTTGGTGGTTATTATTACATTTCACAACCAAATTTTCATAGTAAAATTTTCGATAAAAACATGATACATGTTGAGTTGTAAAAACTTAAAATTAAGTTTAACAAACCGATTTATGCGAGTATGGTAATTTTGGATATCAATTTTTCGTTAATGATATTTTTGCTTGCATAAGGGATGATATTGATAGATTTGACACATCTGATTATCCTACAGATAATATCTATCAAATAGGTACCTACATTTAAAAAATAAAAAAGTTTTGGGTTTGATGAAGGATGAAAATGACGAAAGTTTAATGTCTGAATTTATTGTGCTACGCTCAAAAATGTACTCATTAAAGGTTAGGAAAATTGATGAAGAAATGGAAAAATTGCGAAAAGATTGTGATAAGAAATATGTTGGAGAAACTAAACGATCCATCCAATTAAGGTTCAAAGAGCACTTGACCCATGCTAGATTTGGTAGGACAGAGAAATCGAGTGTTGACCAACATATATTTAATGATGGTCATAGAATAGGATTTGACAACCTTAAACTTATTAAAGGAAGTCTGCTAAATAGTTATGAAAGTTTATACATCTATAAGAATAAAAATAAATCTTTAAATAGCGATTACCGACCGGTACCCAACTCTATAGTTTGTATAAATTAGTTTCTCTTTACGTGTTCACTGAAGCGGTTACGGTCCACGGTTTAGTAAACTGTGTCCGTTTGCGGTTCAGTCAACCTTAGCTTATATTTAGTATAAATTTGATAGATTTAGCGGTTAGATTTAGTTACACTGATTCTGAAGATGCCAAGATCGTTGGCGAAAAGTACTTTAAGCACTTTGTGTTTTGTTTTGTTGTGGGGAATATTTCTATTATTTGTTTTAAACTCTAGTTTTTTTATCTATAACAAAAACATT